TTTTTTTTTTTGTTAACGCACGTACGCCTCTTTTTAGTTGGTATATTTTAGCAATGTGTACCGGATTTTAGTAGACAAAAATATACTTATATATCACGAATTCTAATTCTAAGTTTTAAGGTTAAGGGTATTTTAATCATTTTCATTCTCAAAACTAAAAAAAAAACTTCCTAAATCCTTACTTACCTCTCTCATTCCTCTCAACCTTTTCTCTTTCATCTCTTTCATTCCAACATTTTCTTTATTGTTGTCCAAACTGAAAAAAAAAATCAGAAACAATCGCTGTTAAACAATTTCTTACAACAAAAATGATTTTATAATGAGTTTTTATTTTATAATTTTTGTCTTATCTAATTTTATCTAATTTTCACAAGCATAATGACATATGAAGGAATTGATAATTGGACAGGAAAAAATCAGAAACACTCGCTCTTAAATAATTTTTTACAAAAAATGATTTTATAATGAGTTTTCATTTTATAATTTTTGTCTTATCTAATTTTCACAAGCATAATGACATCCAAAGAAATTGGTAATTGGCCAGCAAAAGTTAAACAATTTCTTAAATAAATGATTTTATAATGAGTTTTCATTTTATAATTTTTGTCTTATCTAATTTTTACAAGCATAATGACATATGAAAGAATTGGTAGAGGTTTTTTTTAGAAATGATGATTCAACATCTTCAGATGATGAAATTAGAGAGGTTAGTAAAGATGATGAATAGATCTTGAATGAACCTTTCCTGAAAACGAATATCCCAATGACTCAACTCTTACTCTTTACAAAGGCAAATTGTTTAATAACGAATGTTTCTGATTTTTTCACTTGGGGCTACTGACAGAGAAAATGTTAGAGTGAGAGATGAAAGATAAAAGGTTGAGAAGAATGAGGGAGGTGAGTAAAGGTTTGGGAGTTTCTTGTTTTTTTTAGCTTTGAGAATGAAATTATTCAAATATCCTTAACCTTAAAACTTAGAATCCATGAAAGGGTATTTTTGTCTAATAAAACCTGGTACATATTACTAAAATGTACCAACTGAAAAAAACAGGCATATGTATTAGCAAACCCATATATATATATATATATCCGTCACAAACTTCACTAAAAAATTATTAAAATGTATATTAAAGTAATTGATACATACAAATATGAATGTACTAATTTATATACACAGGACACAAACATCCATTACTACAAAAACAAAAATAAATACTGTTGTTATAACAAAACCTGTTTTGGACTCGCCTCTTCTTCTATGTGACACGATCATTCTGGAGCTATGTCCACGTTTTCCAGAGCCGCACACGAAGTGGAAGTCACTTCCACCAGTAAAGAGATAATTTGCTTGTCAGATTTGAATATTAAAAAAAAAGTTGCAGAATTTTTTTCTTAGGATAAGGGAGTTATTACCATGTGAAATGACTCGTTCCTTTCTATATAAATTGATGATCATGCTCACTTCCTCTTCTCTCACCTTTCTCTCTACTCCTTTTCTCTCTTTAGCATTTTATCTTATTTCTATCCTATCTTGAAATTTTGAATTAGTTATTATTAGAGTTCCTTACCAATTTTAAAATTCTCAAAGAATTCAAATTCTTTTATTATATCTTAAAAAACTTACATGATACACACCACAAATAAATATTTAAAAACAATGAGCATACACACAAGAAAATCTTTTTATTTTTTTTATTTCGTTATCATTTACAACCTTTATCAAATAAAAGTTGAATTAATTTTTAGTTTTGAAATTTGAAATAAAGTAAAATGTCCCCACTTTTTCATAGGATACATATTATTTAAATAATATATTTATTATGATGGTAACTTGATGTCACATATCTGATGGCAGAAAGAAAGTGTTGAGACATAATATGTGGGACAGTAATACCGACGCGTCCATCACCAATCAGAGTCAGAAATCACGAACATTGTGGACCAACAACATTGTAGAAAATGAGGAGGATACGATGCACATCAACCTGTCTTTCACCATCACCAATCAACTTCTCCTCCAAGCCATCAGGTAAAACTAGGTTGTTATTAATTACTGCCACCAAAAACAAAAAACCAGAACAAAGATCGATATAACAACGTTGAACACACTGAAACTGGAGTACGCACGCACGGGGAACCAAGATTCAGAAGAATCCGTTTTCTTCATTTTCTTCCCGACTTCGTCTCATCATGTGATACTGAAAACGTTCCACCATGGTCGCGGGGACAGACAGCAGCACTCTGACGGCATTAGCGTCACCGGCGACGGGTAAGAACAAGCAGTAAATATCACTGGTCAAAGGACCCATATGCAAAGGTTTCCCTTCCCCAAAATCCACCTCTTCCAACCCCAGTCTAGACCACTGCGAAATAACTAAACTCGTCGAAAGATCCGTTTTTACAGTTTTGTCCTCTAACAGGTCAACCATTGACCTTACGTACTCCTCCTCTTTCAACCTCGCCTTAGCTTCCTGCACAAGTTTCACTCCGTGGCGCAGGTTACCGTCCACTAAGTCCTCCACGCTGCTCTCAGCGCACGCTAGCAAGAATCCGTTCCCGTAATACCCCTGCGGAAGGTCAACTGTTCTTCTAACGTTGACCGAGAAAAGGAGCTTCACAGTGAGTTTGGACGGTAGGGATTGGCCCACCGAGCGAATCCAAGAGCGCCAGGTGTGGGCCGCAACGGTTTCGAAGGAGGTGCACTTGAGGGAGGGGACGCACTCTTTCTTGAGGCGAAGGACGTGGGAGGGGGTGAGGGTGAAGGATGTGGCTACCAAGGGCTGTGACTGTATGAACTTTAGAAGGTCCACTTGAGGGGTTGGGTTTGGTGCGGTGTAGCCCGCGTGACGGAACTTTACCTGCGCAGGGTGTCTGGGTTTCAGCACGTGGCGCCAGTGGAAGGGCATGATCGTCAATTCCGCTTCTGGCTTTTTCGTGAGCTGTGCCCAGGCGTGTAGAAACTGAGACGTGCCTATGCCGTCGCATACGCAGTGGTTGATCGCCGTGCACAGGATCATTCCCCCGCAACCCAGCCTCGTTACCTGCAAATTACATTCAACTTCAATTTTTTTTTTTATATTTATATTTTTCCGTCCATACAATCCATTTGATAGAGAAACATAACAGTTTCTGTGATGGATTAATGGAAAGAAACGGAGAAAAATGTTAAAAGTACGATGTAAAAATTATTTAATAAACCAGGGCCAGGAATATTTTTTATAAAAAAAAACCTCATTTTTAATTATTGAATTTAAAATATTACTTATTTTATTTTTAAGATGTTTTTCTCATCAAACACGAATACCATTATTAAGAAATGGTTGTAAAGAAAATAACATAACTTAGGGGAAAAACTCTGTTTTGTGTGGAAGAGAAACACTCTAGAGTTATGAAAAAAAGAAAACTTTACAGTTGTGGTAAAAGTTATTTATCAAACATTCTTCAGAGGTTGCCATTTAGAGTTGTAATCTTATATTACAAATGTCATCATTGAAGACATTTTTCTTTTCATGAATTATCAGCAGTGACCTACCAACCAAGTTCATCAACGAATCAAGAACACAAAACCACTTAAAACCGATACCAACAAAATACGAACTTGCATATATATCTGGCTGGTTCCCCGGGGGGTTTATATTTTGTAAAGAAAATGTGAATATCTTTTGTTCATGTGTTTACGAGAGAGGATGAAAGTTTTCTGAAAATGGATTTCATCCGTGTGAAAGAGACAAATCAGAAAAAGGAAGAAAAGTGGATGATAGCACATAGTGATGAAAGACGTTCATTTAACAGAAACAAAAGTGTAGAACCTTGCCACAATAATTCATATTATATATATATATATATATATATATATATATATATATATAGAGAGAGAGAGAGAGAGAGAGAGAGAGAGAGAGAGAGAAGAGATATTTCTAGCACACGTCTTGACGTCAAAGTTCTTTGAACCTAAACGTAAACAGTGGACAGTAAACGCACAAGGTTACATATTCTGTGTCACTATTAACCTTTTAATGAACAGAGGATTAGAAGGTTTAAGCAAAGCAGTAAATGAATTGATAAAGCGAATTAAGAAAATTGAAGGAAGAAAGAGTTAATCTGACCTGGACTACGAGAGGAGGAACATCGACGAAAGTGTGAGCTTCGACCTTATACAAGAACTTCTTCCAAGATTTGTTTGGAGTCTTGGAAGATTCGAGAAGTTGATGAAGAGTGGTGTGAGTGAAAGCCTCGGCAAAGAGAGCACCCTGTCCATTGCAATCGACCTCGAGCTTCTGATGATCGACGGTCCTCAAGCGACCGGCCAAGGGGTAATAATCCACCAGAACTCTGGCCAGAGAAGACTTCAACACATCCAAGTTCAAGGACTTGTTGAAGAGGTACAAGTATTTGATGGAAAACCTTAGGAAGTTTTGGTCGTCGAGATTGGACAGATAGAGAGAATGTTTTGGGGTAGGAGCGCTTGGAGGAATGCTCAATGCTTCACCACGATACATACAATCAGGGGCTTCCATAATGATTACTATTACGATGCATATGGGAAGAATTGAAGAGAGTGAAGGAAAGAGAAAAGATAAAATAGAAGAAGACGATGATTGAATGAAAAAGTGAGTGGAAGCAGAGGGTGTATTATTTTGAATGTGTGTCCAAGGAAGAAAAACGGATCATGCTCAAATTTGTGGTTTGAATAATGGTTTTGGGTACGATCGATGAGATTACTTTTCAGGGCTTCACTTCTTGCGCACAATCTGTTTGTGGTAATTAATATTCACTTTGATTTCCTTTGAAATTAATTACAAAAGACAAAAAGGGGAAAAATGCTAACTATAAGTCAATAGGTTCTGCCGATAAGAGGGAAGCACTGTTTCACTTTAATTAATCGTCAACCCACTCACCCATTCCTTTATCAAAAGCTTGACCTAATCGATAAGAATGATGTTATTTTATGAGTATTTGAGTTTGATGAAACCAGAAAAAAAAAAAAAGTCAGTAGCACGTGTCTGTAAGAGAAAATGGTGGTGATTTTGGCCTGCTGTACTTGTTTAAAATATCAGATGTATATGGACTTCATTAGTCTACAATTTTTCTTTTCAAAAACGAATTATCAGACGCCACTATTCATAAATTTGTCAGGTTATAATTTATTTGTACGATAAATTGACAGGGTCCATGGCTTAGTACTTTTCAACTTTTCTTACTTTTACCAGAAAGGTCTAAGGATAGCAACGATCCATTGAATTTATAAAAATGGACAACTAAAGTAAACAGTGAGTATATAAAATATAAAAACAAAATTAAATAAAAATTGATAGTGGGAAAAGAATTAATGAGAACTACAGCTACCTGTATCTGGACATATATATTAATAGAGAACGTAAATCGTATTTAATGGCTGATATTCTCTAATTTAGTGGATAGTCTCTGGAAACATAAATAAATCAAAATGGCTATCATTCGATCACGTGTAGATGCCATTATCCCCGTTAAAATTAGGTTACTCAGCCGCAAAAACTGAAACCTGTCATATCTCCAAATTAGGGAGCCTTTTTATTGGTCTTATAACAAGCTCTGAAGATTAACATGTTTTAGTAATTACAAATTACGATAAGATTTTTTAGCATCTTAGAATGTCTTTATTAAATAAAACTCTGTAATTTAAAAGATTTTAAGATATATTATTTTGAGAAAATAATTATATTTTGTTTTAATATTTATGCTGAAATAATACAATATTTTCTGGAAAATCTTTACAAGTGAAAAAAGTAGAGCAGGGAATATTTTTCTGATCGAAAGGATATTATTTCTGTAACTAAGCATAATATTAAGGTTTAAAATGTGATCTCGTAATTCGTACCGTAATTGCAATTTGGAGGAATAACATAATATTTAAACGTATTATTTAATTGAAAACGTTGCGGCTAGGTTCTATTAAGGAAGTCAAAGTGAGGTGTAACGCACTCGTTAATGTCTTAATATATTGTTGTGAAAAGACGTGATATTTTTATATCTCCATTTTATTATTCTATGAATATAACTTTATGGCTAAAATTCTATTTTTATTATAAAAAATTTAATTTAATTTTTTATTTTTATTTGATTCAATTTAGTTTTTTACTTTTTAAAATGATTGAATTATATTTTTCTTGTTAAATTAGGTTTTTTTAGTTTTTAGTCAAAAATTAAATCATTATTACATATGTAGCCAAAAAAAGAATTATTTATGTAAATGCATAAGTCATACAGCTTCCACAAAATTTCAAATGAAGAAGTCACTTAAAAGGTACATGACTTCTGCCCTACTATAATAAAAAAGATGAAATTGTGCATCTTTCACACGTTTTCATATATTGGTAATAGATTACGAGCACCTGTAATCGATTACACAATGTTAAAGTCGTGTAGGGAGACCACAACTTCACTCATAAACGATTACATTACTATTGTAATTTATTATCAGTGTTGAAATTCGAATAAAATGACTTGGTCATCAATTATTGTCCAAAGAAAGAAATGGTTTAAACTAAATTAAGATATGAATTGCATTCATTACATTAATGAGAATTCGAATTACAAAGGAATTTGTGCATAAATTGGATTAATAAAGGAAACAATTAATTCAATTTATGATAAGTATAAAGAATTTAAATTCAGTATAAAGGAAACAAATGATTCAATTTATGATATAAATCATTTAAATTCACTATAAAGAAAACAATTGATCAAATTTATGATGAGTATAAAGAAACATGATTGTAAATTATTTAAATTCAGTATAAATTATTTAATTGAGTATAAAGGAAATAATTGATCCAATTTATGATGAGTATAAAGGAAACATAAGTATTTAATTCAGTATAAAGAAAACAATTAATTCAATTTATGATGAGAATGAAACATGACAACTTTTTCATGAGAAATCCCTTTGGTAATTCAAATTTCTTCGAATTTAATAAATGCAATTTATATTTTAACTTAATTTTAATCTCTTTTTCTCTCTGGTAATCGATTATCAAACCCTTTTATTCGAATTTCAACACTAATAATCGATTATAATAGTAGTGTAATCGACTCCCAATAAAGTCGTGACCCCCTACATGATTTTAACACTGTGTAACTTATTACAAGTGCTCGTAATCGATTACGAGTATCCAAAACACATAGGAGGTATGCGAATTCACTTTTTTTGTTATGAGAAGTCAAGCATCCTTGCATGATTTCTTCATTTGAAGTCGTATGAAGACTTCATGATTTGTCCATTTATGTAAATAAAATAAAATTTACCTAGATCTGTAATAATGATTTATTTTTTTCCTAAAAACGTAAAGGAACCGTTAAATTAATATTAAACTAATATTAAGTTTTCATTAAAATTTATATATCAAATTACTTTACCTAAATAACTAAATATTCAAATTAAATCTAACGTCAACCTATCAAAAAGAATTTAATTGAATTATCTTTTAAAAAATTAAAAGATTAAATTAAATCAAATAAAAATTAAAAGTCTAATTGAATTTTTTGTAATAATTAGATAATCAAAATAATATTTTAGTCTAACTTTATATACAATAATTACAATTTTAATCATAAGAATACGGAACTTATCGCACCAATTGAATGTTATAGGAAAACTGTTTTGTGGCATATATATATATACACACACACACACAAGTGTGCCTAGAGTCTATGAATTCCATACAAAATATACGCACCCACCTTCTCACTTGCTTTGTTATAGTTCCAGAGATGCTTTTAAATTCTGATCAAGAAGAAATGAATCGAAAAAAAAAACAGAGGTTCATGCTAATTACGGTATATAGGACTGGTAACATGAGTAGGAATCCTTTTGAAAAACAAAAAATTGCGTTGGATATGTGTATCATATAAAATGATTATTCAGAATTTAACATCACTGCCAACAATGATGCATTCATAGTATCAACTATATTGAATATCATGCTACTGCTCAAATGGCCACTGTTCTCCGACGATTTCTTCTACCTAACAAGAAGACGTTTCTGCTTGATTTAAATCAATCACCTTGACATTTTAAGTATAGGTTATTAACTTCACCTGTTTGTCACGATTATGTGCCATTCCAGCTATAAATTAATTCAAAATAAACAGATTAACGGCAAACAGCTCTGCACAAACCAAACAATGTTGGCAGAACAACTGTTAGCAGTCCAATCCTTCGTAGCTTTTACCTCAATCAAACATGTCCATGAGACACATTATTGGCGACAGAAAAACACGGAACACCATTTTATAAGATCTAGGTTGGCTCAACTCCTCTATGCCCAACCTAAATAATCATTCGTGGTTTACATAGTGACACCTTCGCATATTATTTTACCAATGTTTGAAGAATTGAGATGAAAAACCAAGATTATGACTTTGAAGGTGTAAAATATAACCCTAAACTCAGTAATAAGGCTGTAGGCTGTATACATTTTCACTGTATCGATAGTTGTTGTGAAGTGTATTATTTTTTTATATTTAAATTAGTCCTCTCAAGTCATTATATTACTTTTCACCGATACAAGGTTAATAACATGAGCCCTGTCCAGCAGTAAGAGCTTGATTTGATCATACACTCCTATAAATCTAAGGCATTTGAAACTGAATCGTGTGATTTTCAATATGCTTTAGGAGAAAGGAACATCGACCCAACAAAAAGTATATTGCTATTGCACTTACTCTTTGTGTGTGGTACCTTAAATGCTGCCTACGACTTTCCGGTTTCATCTCACTTTTTTCCTTTTTGACTGTTTCTTAAAGCTCGGAATCGTATTCTCGTCAAAACCAGCTCAGGTTCAATGGCGCATATACATTCCAACCGATATCTCTAGTCCACCCCATGACTTAGGAGCCTCACCACATCATAACACTAATGAGATTACATAAAGTCTTTAAAAAGTTTGAGTTTTTACCGGTCTGTCCTCAACGTTACACAGTTTTACTATCACAGCCTTCCTAGTAATTTGTCTTGTACATTTTTATTTATCCAGTAATCAACTCAAGTTCCATCTGGTAATTCATTATCTCGTGTAAATCATCTTCGACTCGTACAGTCTTATGCAGCCATACCCCCAAATTTAACTGCAAATTGCAAATTAAACAACGACGTTAACTAACTAAAAATGATACTCCTAGTTTTCTGAAATAATTCAGCATACATGAACATCAATGAGTTGGAAAGCAAGTAACCTCGGACTTTGGATTTGCAGAGATTCCAATTACAACCGGGCAACGTATGAGTTTGCTTCTGTTACATATCTAACCCAGCGATAAGGATTATGCGCTTTTGATTTCTTCGCTATTTGCAAATACTTAACCTGCATCAGAAAATTGCATTTTGGATCTATTTAAGGGAGTTCATATAAACCGGATACAAAATCAAATTGCAATAATAGAGGAAAGTTGAATCTACTTCTATAATCATTAGGAATGATAACACTATCCGATTTTGCACCCAGTAACACCAGCTTCGTAAATCAACAAAGACATAGTAAGATTAATTTATAGATTAGCAGTAAAATTAACGCACCACAAAATTCCAATACCATTTTCTAGCTTTGTTAAATAAATGTAATAGAAGAAACATAACTTCAAGAAAATCCCTAGCAGTTTACCTGAAGCCTTGAAGCATTGTACATTGGTATGGTGAAAGTCATGCTAACAGGTCCTGCTTCTTTCATGATATTTCCTGTGCTCAGTATAAAACAATTTAATTCATTACAGAGAACAACGCCTTTTGAAACAGTGAGCTAAAAAATAATTATTAGCAAGCAATGTACCATGTAATTCCTGCGAAAACGTCAGCTTTGCACGCAAAGTATGTTCAGATCCACCAACAACCTGCAAAAAGATGTACCAAACATTATTGTCATCCACCAATGACTGGTATTACCCTCGAATATATCAACTGAAGAAACCTTTACGTACATCCATAGATAAGTATTTAAAGATATACTGATTACAGTGGAAAACAAACAGTATATGTTACCTTTTTCAAGCCCCATTCTAGTCTTCTATTTGTTTCCTTAAAATCAGTGGTGTGTCCAACTGCTCCAGGTTCTAACTCAAAATTAACACTGAAAAATTGAAAATTGTTTTACCAAAAAGATGTAAGATTAAGTAATCGGGATAGTACTTAAACCATGTATTGAATGGAGCATTTCAGCATGTATGTGCAATAAATTACAACACAAACACATAGACAAACAAAAGGTAGCATATTCAGTAGATCAGATTCCAAGCATCCAATTGCATCAAGAAGAATAAATCAGCCTCCAGCATGTCTATGAATGGTTTCCGTACTTATCTCATTTCTTTTTATTATCCACCAGCCACTCACCCCTGAGTCTGTGACTACCAGAGGTGCAGTGCCCGAGTAACCATTTTTGTTTTCCTCTTTACATTTAGTACGATGAATGCTTTGAGTTCTGATTTAAGATTAGACACCCAATATTGGGCATTGAGCTCTGATCTTGAATGCTTATGTGGGAATACTAGCGCTGAAAAAGGGATAGTTTGGTGTTACAAGTGAGTGTTGTAAAATTGGCTGTTGTTAGTATTGATATTCTTTGCTATATTTGGTTTTCACACATATTTTCTATTTCAAAATCTCCTGCAGTTTAATGTCCATATATTCTACTGGTAGCAACAAAAAATTACAAGCAAGCAACCAGGCATGACAACAAAGGAAACCTGTCATCAGCCAGTGATTTTCTGGCTTTGTGGTGAATTACTGATGTCTATATCTTCTGGGCTTGATGCAGTGCAGATAGAAAAATGAAACAGATTCTTAGGCTTATTCAAAGGTTAAGGTTGCATCAATTCTGCTAACATAAATGTTATTTGCTAAATCTTTAGATTTTAAAAGCATGACAAATTTTTCTTTCTATTTGTGTTTTAGTTTTCTGGGTGGTTTGAAGGTTATCTCATTTGACAAACCCAATATATGGCTTCTAGTGATTTAAATCTTGACAATCTATTAAACTATAACTATCAAACATCCCAACCTATTAAACTGCCCAATCAGCCTGTTAGTCAGCTAACTAATTCATTATGGAGAAGAGCACTAAATCATTACTGTCAACTATAAATAAATTTAAATGCACAATAATCGTGAAGAAATGTAAGTACCGAGCTGTCAATGATGGCAGGGGCATCTGTACAAGAACAGTGCTAGCATTGATACTTGAGTTGAACTCAGCTCGCACTTTAATAGTCACTTCAGCCTATAAAAATATGAAGTCTATTTATCAGTACATGCTAAACAATGTGTAGACTAGGAAAGTTAGAGGGAAGGGAGATCTAAACCACCTTCAGGGGTCCTGTTTCTTCAATCAATGCAGTAATACGAAATGGTGGTTTAAAAGGTTGAGTCATACGATAATTCATGACTGGAAACTCACCATCTGGTGGTACCTACCAAACAATGAAATGGTAATTCGTCAGGGAACTCAAAAAAGCACGTTATTGAGTTATCTATATATGTAACTTAGTGTACTATGTACTTACCAATGACAAAGTTCTATCAACTTCAAAATTATCAAGGTGTACAGACTCATGGAAGTTACAATCATCTAAAATCACAGCACCTGAACCTCTATAATCTGTTAAAGATGATAGAACGGGATTCAGAAAGAATTGAAAGACATATCAATAGCAAATAGGATAGAAAAAATCAACTAGCCAACAAAAATCTCTTCAAGAAAATTATCCATCCATCAATGATTAGACCGACAAATATATAAACTCAACTAAAAGTATCTCACTACAAACACTAAATATATAATTATTTTCAACATAAAAATAATTTAAATATTAATACAGGGAATACAATCAAGAAATATGCCTGACATGTTACCAAGAAAATAACATGACAAAGAAACGTAACACACTTTTTCTCATTGTTTTAACGTTCAAGGGGAACAAAATATAATGATTGACCTACCACTTGTCCCTATACTCAGGTCCTCGTTGAGAGCAAGTCGAATCTCTGGGTTACCAGAAAGATAACTCTTCATTTGTATGGTTCCATCTATCTCACTAGTAAGTATAAATCCCTGCTTCCGACAACAAACTCATCAAAATGCCTCAATATTATAACAGTAAATGTATGGAAAAGGGAAGGAAGACATCACAATGGACAGCATGAAAAAAGCATAAAAAAGATGACCAGCATACTCACACTAGAATTGAATGTAACACTTATTTTCTCAATTACATCAACAAATATCTCATCCCTCTTCCTACCACCAGGTTCATTAGCAACCACGGACTTTGTAATAGCCGTACCTGGCATTCGTTTGGTCCCTTGCTGCAAATATAGGAGTAACAAGTCAACAAAACCATGCATGAAATCCAGTAATAGGCCAGCATCAAGAAAATGAATGGATTTCCAAATAGTTAGCTACATACCATAAAAATGGAAGCGGGACCAAGGGGAGGCATCCGTGCAGCATCAATCACTATTGGCTCATTGAAAATGTAAGACTTCAAAACCTCAGTGGATGTTGTTTGCACATAACCAAAATCCTGGCACAAATAAATTTCAGTATAAACAAATCAAACAGAAAATGCAGCAGTTAAAACCGTGCAAAAGTTATCAAGCTTTAAAATGGTTTGGAGAAGCCGTAGATATGTTAACAAAGTAAACTATTAAGTTTCACTATTCTCAAAAAAATATAAAAATCCACACATCATGGTCAGAGTAAAACTACCAAGCATTTGTACAAATTAAATAGTTTTCCTGCCTCCCAAAATGTGACACTAAAAATAGATTAAAAGGTAATATTACAAAAGTGTGCTTTCATATATGATCAACCTGTCAACTTTAGCACATCGAGAGTTGAAAACTGGAAACTTGTTCATGGGAGACTTGGCATGTGAACAGTTGTAGACAACAGTCTATAAAAACTGATAGAAATAATCATTAAAGTGTAAATGAACAAAAGAAATCAAAGGTGCTAGGACCTACNAGTCCTCTCAAGTCATTATATTACTTTTCACCGATACAAGGTTAATAACATGAGCCCTGTCCAGCAGTAAGAGCTTGATTTGATCATACACTCCTATAAATCTAAGGCATTTGAAACTGAATCGTGTGATTTTCAATATGCTTTAGGAGAAAGGAACATCGACCCAACAAAAAGTATATTGCTATTGCACTTACTCTTTGTGTGTGGTACCTTAAATGCTGCCTACGACTTTCCGGTTTCATCTCACTTTTTTCCTTTTTGACTGTTTCTTAAAGCTCGGAATCGTATTCTCGTCAAAACCAGCTCAGGTTCAATGGCGCATATACATTCCAACCGATATCTCTAGTCCACCCCATGACTTAGGAGCCTCACCACATCATAACACTAATGAGATTACATAAAGTCTTTAAAAAGTTTGAGTTTTTACCGGTCTGTCCTCAACGTTACACAGTTTTACTATCACAGCCTTCCTAGTAATTTGTCTTGTACATTTTTATTTATCCAGTAATCAACTCAAGTTCCATCTGGTAATTCATTATCTCGTGTAAATCATCTTCGACTCGTACAGTCTTATGCAGCCATACCCCCAAATTTAACTGCAAATTGCAAATTAAACAACGACGTTAACTAACTAAAAATGATACTCCTAGTTTTCTGAAATAATTCAGCATACATGAACATCAATGAGTTGGAAAGCAAGTAACCTCGGACTTTGGATTTGCAGAGATTCCAATTACAACCGGGCAACGTATGAGTTTGCTTCTGTTACATATCTAACCCAGCGATAAGGATTATGCGCTTTTGATTTCTTCGCTATTTGCAAATACTTAACCTGCATCAGAAAATAGCATTTTGGATCTATTTAAGGGAGTTCATATAAACCGGATACAAAATCAAATTGCAATAATAGAGGAAAGTTGAATCTACTTCTAGAATCATTAGGAATGATAACACTATCCGATTTTGCACCCAGTAACACCAGCTTCGTAAATCAACAAAGACATAGTAAGATTAATTTATAGATTAGCAGTAAAATTAACGCACCACAAAATTCCAATACCATTTTCTAGCTTTGTTAAATAAATGTAATAGAAGAAACATAACTTCAAGAAAATCCCTAGCAGTTTACCTGAAGCCTTGAAGCATTGTACATTGGTATGGTGAAAGTCATGCTAACAGGTCCTGCTTCTTTCATGATATTTCCTGTGCTCAGTATAAAACAATTTAATTCATTACAGAGAACAACGCCGTTTGAAACAGTGAGCTAAAAAATAATTATTAGCAAGCAATGTACCATGTAATTCCTGCGAAAACGTCAGCTTGGCACGCAAAGTATGTTCAGATCCACCAACAACCTGCAAAAAGATGCACCAAACATTATTGTCATCCACCAATGACTGGTATTACCCTCGAATATATCAACTGAAGAAACCTTTACGTACATCCATAGATAAGTATTTAAAGATATACTGATTACAGTGGAAAACAAACAGTATATGTTACCTTTTTCAAGCCCCATTCCAGTCTTCTATTTGTTTCCTTAAAATCAGTGGTGTGTCCAACTGCTCCAGGTTCTAACTCAAAATTAACACTGAAAAATTGAAAATTGTTTTACCAAAAAGATGTAAGATTAAGTAATCGGGATAGTACTTAAACCATGTATTGAATGGAGCATTTCAGCATGTATGTGCAATAAATTACAACACAAACACATAGACAAACAAAAGGTAGCATATTCAGTAGATCAGATTCCAAGCATCCAATTGCATCAAGAAGAATAAATCAGCCTCCAGCATGTCTATGAATGGTTTCCGTACTTATCTCATTTCTTTTTATTATCCACCAGCCACTCACCCCTGAGTCTGTGACTACCAGAGGTGCAGTGCCCGAGTAACCATTTTTGTTTTCCTCTTTACATTTAGTACGATGAATGCTTTGAGTTCTGATTTAAGATTAGACACCCAATATTGGGCACTGAGCTCTGATCTTGAATGCTTATGTGGGAATACTAGCGCTGAAAAAGGGATAGTTTGGTGTTACAAGTGAGTGTTGTAAAATTGGCTGTTGTTAGTATTGATATTCTTTGCTATATTTGGTTTTCACACATATTTTCTATTTCAAAATCTCCTGCAGTTTAATGTCCATATATTCTACAGGTAAAAACAAAAAATTACAAGCAAGCAACCAGGCATGACAACAAAGGAAACCTGTCATCAGCCAGTGATTTTCTGGCTTTGTGGTGAATTACTGATGTCTATATCTTCTGGGCTTGATGCAGTGCAGATAGAAAAATGAAACAGATTCTTAGGCTTATTCAAAGGTTAAGGTTGCATCAATTCTGCTAACATAAATGTTATTTGCTAAATCTTTAGATTTTAAAAGCATGACAAATTTTTCTTTCTATTTGTGTTTTAGTTTTCTGGGTGGTTTGAAGGTTATCTCATTTGACAAACCCAATATATGGCATCTAGTGATTTAAATCTTGACAATCTATTAAACTATAACTATCAAACATCCCAACCTATTAAACTGCCCAATCAGCCTGTTAGTCAGCTAACTAATTCATTATGGAGAAGAGCACTAAATCATTACTGTCAACTATAAATAAATTTAAATGCACAATAATCGTGAAGAAATGTAAGTACCGAGCTGTCAATGATGGCAGGGGCATCTGTACAAGAACAGTGCTAGCATTGATACTTGAGTTGAACTCAGCTCGCACTTTAATAGTCACTTCAGCCTATAAAAATATGAAGGCTATCTATCAGTACATGCTAAACAATGTGTAGACTAGGAAAGTTAGAGGGAAGGGAGATCTAAACCACCTTCAGGGGTCCTGTTTCTTCAATCAATGCAGTAATACGAAATGGTGGTTTAAAAGGTTGAGTCATACGATAATTCATGACTGGAAACTCACCATCTGGTGGTACCTACCAAACAATGAAATGGTAATTCGTCAGGGAACTCAAAAAAGCACGTTATTGAGTTATCTATATATGTAACTTAGTGTACTATGTACTTACCAATGACAAAGTTCTATCAACTTCAAAATTATCAAGGTGTACAGACTCATGGAAGTTACAATCATCTAAAATCACAGCACCTGAACCTCTATAATCTGTTAAAGATGATAGAACGGGATTCAGAAAGAATTGAAAGACATATCAATAGCAAATAGGATAGAAAAAATCAACTAGCCAACAAAAATCTCTTCAAGAAAATTATCCATCCATCAATGATTAGACCGACAAATATATAAACTCAACTAAAAGTATCTCACTACAAACACTAAATATATAATTATTTTCAACATAAAAATAATGTAAATATTAATACAGGGAATACAATCAAGAAATATGCCTGACATGTTACCAAGAAAATAACATGACAAAGAAACGTAACACACTTTTTCTCATTGTTTTAACGTTCAAGGGGAACAAAATATAATGATTGACCTACCACTTGTCCCTATACTCAGGTCCTCGTTGAGAGCAAGTCGAATCTCTGGGTTACCAGAAAGATAACTCTTCATTTGTATGGTTCCATCTATCTCACTAGTAAGTATAAATCCCTGCTTCCGACAACAAACTCATCAAAATGCCTCAATATTATAACAGTAAATGTATGGAAAAGGGAAGGAAGACATCACAACGGACAGCATGAAAAAAGCATAAAAAAGATGACCAGCATACTCACACTAGAATTGAATGTAACACTTATTTTCTCAATTACATCAACAAATATCTCATCCCTCTTCCTACCACCAGGTTCATTAGCAACCACGGACTTTGTAATAGCCGTACCTGGCATTCGTTTGGTCCCTTGCTGCAAATATAGGAGTAACAAGTCAACAAAACCATGCATGAAATCCAGTAATAGGCCAGCAGCAAGAAAATGAATGGATTTCCAAATAGTTAGCTACATACCATAAAAATGGAAGCGGGACCAAGGGGAGGCATCCGTGCAGCATCAATCACTATTGGCTCATTGAAAATGTAAGACTTCAAAACCTCAGTGGATGTTGTTTGCACATAACCAAAATCCTGGCACAAATAAATTTCAGTATAAACAAATCAAACAGAAAATGCAGCAGTTAAAACCGTGCAAAAGTTATCAAGCTTTAAAATGGTTTGGAGAAGCCGTAGAAATGTTAACAAAGTAAACTATTAAGTTTCACTATTCTCAAAAAAATATAAAAATCCACACATCATGGTCAGAGTAAAACTACCAAGCATTTGTACAAATTAAATAGTTTTCCTGCCTCCCAAAATGTGACACTAAAAATAGATTAAAAGGTAATATTACAAAAGTGTGCTTTCATATATGATCAACCTGTCAACTTTAGCACATCGAGAGTTGAAAACTGGAAACTTGTTCATGGGAGACTTGGCATGTGAACAGTTGTAGACAACAGTCTATAAAAACTGATAGAAATAATCACTAAAGTGTAAATGAACAAAAGAAATCAAAGGTGCTAGGACCTACGTTTTACCAATGAAGTTTAGGCAAACATGCTTTCGCATCCAACACACATATACAGGTATTTTCCCCAAGAAAACCATAAGTTGAAGCAAGGATAGTAAGTAAATACTTACAATCACTTC